ACAAGGTATTTTGATCCTCAAAGAAAAGTATTACGTATAATGACACAGGTAGAGTACACAAATTTATTCCGAACATATTATATACAAGCCACCAAGATAAAATTCGCCCGAAAAACTTGAGGCTGCATTCAAGCAGAAATGGTTTTAACGTCTGACTTCAGAAGATAAAAGCTCTACCTACCTAAATAAGATTAAATACCTTTTCAGGTCAAGTGCTTTCTGCAGTATTGACGAATTTGTTCATTTTAACTTCACTCAGTGGTTGCTTCTTGTTGAGTCTTCTAAATTGTATGAATAAATTGAATCTTGAATCTAATACGTTATTTTGATGTTCCTTTATAACCATAGAATATAAAGCCATGATCTTCAAAATGGCGAACTAATTTTCTTAACTCAATAACCAATCATCAAAGCGCTTGAGGTCGCATTTCCATTTTTTTCAACTACCTGTTTGGAGCAGAATTCTGAATCCTTTTCATCTATTTATTTCAAGGTGTACATAGAGATGACTAGAAACAGTGTTATCAATTCTTTTTGTGCTTTTTATTGTGCATTTTTTCTTCAATAATAACTTGTTAACAAATATTAGTGTACACCTCTAAAATTGTATGTCAAAATTCCACTTTTATAGTAGAATTGAGCTGGTGATTACTTTCATTTTTATCGCTTTTTCTCTTCCAAAAATCTTTGCTTTTCTTGAAGCGTCTCTATGCAGCAAATTGTGTTTTCCAGTAAAGCAAAGATTCTTTGAAGAGAGTGGTAAGAAAAAAGTTATCAAATTTCATAAATGTGGAATACTCACATTCAATTTAAGAGCTGTACTATTTTTGTTAAGAAGAAAGATTGACAAAAAATTCCATAAAAAAGCTCAAAAAATGCATTTTTTGACAAAAAAGAAACTGATAAATATTGTTCTTTATAAAAGAATCCGACAAAAAGTATTAAGAATACTCCTCTGGACAGTCTGGTGAAAAAAAAGGACATGCAACATTAATATATAAACACTGTTCTATTGCAAGGATCTATCCGAATATTTAATAAAATATGTAAATATGGAGTATTCCATTTTAAAAAAATGTAAGAATTTGTCATCGTCATATCTCGAATTTTATTACACATTTAGATAACCTTTTTTAAAAGAGGAAAATACTGTAACGCTTTGGTGGTTAGTTGTTGAGTTATAAACGATCCAATATACAAAAGTGCAAGACTTTGACAGCCTGATAATCCGCCATTTTGAGAAAGAGGTTTTATATTCTAGAGTTATAAAGTATTCATAAAGAGTATCAAAATAAGGTGCACATGACCCCCAGTCCATTGTAAAAATGTTTCATAATGGAGCCTGGCCACGATCTACAAATGTATAACTATTATTTTTACGATAAAATATTCTTCATGCCTCAATTTCGTAGCCCCGAATTTTAGCTTGCTGACTTGAACCGTTCAAAAATAAGTAGGGGAAGTAAAAAGTACCTTAATATGGTTCGTCACGATAATTTTGCTTGAAATAAATTAGAATTTGGTGTCAAAATGATCCTTTTTTATCTGTGATCTAAATATTATTTATATTACCATATGTTTTAACCAATAGGTTGTTACAAGTTGATATTATTTTGATATTAGGCCTATCCAGCTTATAACCTTACGATTCCCCTATTCTCGTTAGCTAACGATGCTTTCTTATTTTTCTCGTTCCTGTGCAAAATCGAAATAAGGAAGATCATAACGAAGAAGAAGATTAAAAGCTCTCTAGTAATGCAAACATCAAACTAACAGGTTGATAATCACTGACAGTGAGAACAAGCGGCTGCAATTTTAAATCGGACTGACCAATCAACAAAGGGTTGGCTGGTCACAAGTGGAGATAGTGACATGACGTCAATAGCGTTGCGTTTCAATAGTTCAAATTTATCGTATTTTTACCATGTTTTAATAAATAGTTTTCGTTAACTTATAACGTTCAAGTACAAAATAAGGTTGAAGATGTCATTTTGTAGCGATATAAAAGATGTTTCAAATTTGACGTTCACCATTGGGATCTCAGAAACTGTAAGAGTCGCATAAATGGGAGAGAGACGGAAAAAACTGATTTTTTCCAATACTGTCTTAATTTTTCCCTGACTTGATTTGTGGTGGGACTTTGAAATAAATTGCACATTAACATTGCTACTTTTTCTAGGTATAATTAGAATTACAATATGAAATTTCGTCTCTTGTGCTCCAGCATTAGCTTTATGTTTTCTTACCGATGCCATATTGGAGATTTGCACAGATGAATAGACTTTTTAACTTTGATTCCAAAAATGTATTCGTAAATATATCATGTATTGATATTGCCAAACCTTATTTTTAAAAAGGCAGGATGTCCTAGGTAGGCCTTGAAATTATCAGATAGTTTGGAATTTTGTACACTTAGACCTTTCAGACCTAAAGTCAGTGATGTATTTCCTTAATTGGCCATGAGTTTATTGTAATAAAAAGGTATGGTGGAACCTAAATATAAAGTGCTCAAACTGTAGGCTATTTTGTAGGGAAAGCCTGACTCTTCTCTGAACATTGTATACTGCTCGATTTATTTCTCTTTTTCTCAGTCTTCCAAACTCTGTTAATATGTTCAATTTGAGGTCTGGTACGAAACAAATTAAATCTGACAATGTCAATGCCTACCTAGAAACTTCTGTTTTTCTGGAATAACTAAAGCTTGGTAACGTCAATGTATGTATTATACATTTTTGAAATCAGGATTGAAAACTCTATTCATCTGCGCAATAATCCAATATGGGAGGACAAGAGAATTATGCCATCTCGTAGTGGAGAAAAAGTGGTAATGTTAACATGCAATCTATTTTGGAATCCCTCTCAAATAGTCAGCAAAAAATAAAAGTGATTTTGGGTTAAATCTGGTATAAATGACTATCCGAAAATTGCAAGGCCTACCCAGGACATTCTGCTTTTTTTAAATCACTAAGGTTTGGCAATGTCAATGTATGACGTATTTTGGCAGATCTAGAACCTAGGCTCAAATTCGAGAACCTTCCTTACTTTTATGTGCGAAGTAAAGCTATTTTTGCATCAGTAAAATCAATATGTGATGTCAACAAAATGTAATCGTCCATACAGTGAGGATAATATACAATGTTGTAGTTCAAATTATGTTAATTGAATGTAAACTTTATAATTTATGCATGATCCAACCAAACTAATTCACTTAGATAATGTGGGAGAGCCAGATCATTAGACTACTAGATCTATATATCTACTCATTTGTTTCTGTCAGCCAGCTAGATCTGAATCACAAATTGATTATTAATGATCCAACCTTGACCTTTATCATTTATCGTGAACATTAGTTATTAGGTTTTGTTCTAAATTTTCCTCGAAATTTCGCACATATCCGACGTAAATGTCGTTCGTGGAAAGTGTGCTTTATGGGTTCCTTGACTCACTCTCTGCTACTTTTGCATTTTGATAAAGCTTGCTGTCAGATTTATAAGATTTATCAATAACTCTATATTAATTTATAGTAACAATTTATATATTACATTACACAGTTTCTAAATTACGACCTTTGATGTGCTAAAATCAATATTGATGGTACGGATAAAATTGCCAATTTATGCTAATAATTAAAAGTGTGGGAGCTATTTCTCACGGACGTATCTGGTTTTTAATTGTGAGGTTCTTCTAGATGTCTCCATGAATATTTTAGTATTTTAGAAAATAAAATAAAATATTGTGGTTAAATAAAATTTAAATAATGCGATTTTCGCACCTACTCGAAAAATTTGTTTTATTGAGAAAATTGTTAGAATAGCGTCTGACAGACTGATGGAAATGTGCGTCAAGGGGAAACTGGCAGCACCGTTGAAAAATAAAAAATACATTAAATTTTTCTAATAATTTTCTGACGGGGCTCAGAGCAAAGATTTTGTTTTCTCATAGAAAATTTCATTTTCAGAAAAACAATAGTCGTCTTGGACGTCATACAATAAAGTCTGGCATTCAAAAGAAGCAAGATACAGGCACCCTGATCAAGTATAACGAAGCGCCTTACACAAAAAAGTGGAAAGGCGAAGCTTCAATCTGTAACAAAATCAGGGGTGTAACCACCATTTTTCCCAACAAGATACGTCCAGACATGACATTTGATGCGTTTTCTGAAGATGTTTGCAGGTACGTTTGAAGTAGTAGAAACTTTCCTTGAACTGATTAACAAATATATTTACTCAGTATCTTATCTAAATTAGTAGTTGAATTATGACCACAGAATAAATAATGGTTTAATGTTAAGAACTCTGAGTGAGAGATAGGTCAGGAATAGTAGTAGTTTCGTAGCTTGACTCAAGCCAAGACTTATTTATATTATATTCTTTTGTGCCACAGGCATGTATCTTTGGTCATAAACATCAACGTCTTCCGATCATGAAATTTTCTATTTATATTGGTCTGAGCTGATGAAGTAATTAATAATAATCTTCAAGCTTCTCGAATACAATGCTACTATGACGTTTTGTTGAAATACATATGTTGTTACCTATTATTTTTTGTAGATCGATGACATTAGCATTTCAAAGACCAGACAAGGTGAAAGGTGTAAATGGTCTCCGGTTCGCAGTTAGAAATGACACTTTTGACTATTCCAGGCAGGAAAATCAGTGTTTCTGCACCAATAAGTCCAAAGAAGCTTTGCCAGATACAGGCTGTCTGAAAAATGGCATATGCGACTTGTCAACATGTACGGGTGAGTGAAATGTCAGCTAGTTAGGAAAGTCAGAAATGTATAGGTTTGTAGAAATGTATAGCTACAATTATTTTCCGTCAAGAATAAGGGCGGATCCAACCTTCGAATCGGGGGGTCACATTTTGAGTCAAAAAAGGGGGAGCGGTTACTTAGTCAAGGTCAAGTCGTGACAGGCTCTAATGCAATTTAAATTAATAAATCTATTAGAAAAATATTTCATTGGCTTCTTTTTTATTTTCTTGAGAAACAATTTATTACTTCCGGATCGACAGGTATATTTTTGTGGACGTAAAGAAATGACATTCCAGTTAGCCTGAGCCGCCTGAGAATAGAGGAGCACATCTCTGCAACACTAACTTGTACTGTGGCAAGACCAAAAATTTATTATTGGTCGCCCTTAATCGAAAATCACCTCTGGAGATACATGCTCATAAAGAGCACTATTCAATGTAGGCTTCCTTATTTTTCAACGTCCGACTGGATCTGCAAAACAATTATATAAAATAGAGCTACGCATTGATTGAGAAAATTCACCTTTCACAGATATCAAATATGGATACATTTTATCAGGTTAAAGGTTTAAGATTACGTTTTTCACCATGATGAAATACCATGATGAAAAATACAGGGTATTTTCAAAGTTAAGTTATTTATGTTACCTGTTTAAAAGTTGCATATTAAGAGAAATAGTGAAAGATTTAAAATTAAAAAAATAAGAATGTTACTACACAGATGTTTAGATATTCTCGACCTCTGCGGTCTAAAATCTTAGCGTTTTTGTTTACTATTATCGCAAACTTTTTGTGTTATTGTATGGTTTTCAGTTGTATCAGTCTTTTAATAGTGGGTATACTTTCATTTGTGCAAAAAATGTCCCGTGTTTTTGAAAACAGTGACATAATACAAATACTAACATACGGAGAGTGCCAACAAAATGCAGCCGCAGCATGCAGGTTGTATGTGGAAAGGTTTTCTTTAAGAAATCATCCGACCTCACGGATGTTTGTAAATTTAGTTATTGGACTTCGTGACACAGGGTATTCAAAAGAACAACGAAAAGGTCACGCTGGAAGATCTGCTCAACCTGAAATGTTACAAATTGACGAACATATTTTAAAAATGATCTAAGACGACCAAACAATGAGCACTAGAGCCATAATAACTGAAGTTGAAGTTTCCCATAGTAAAGTGTGGAAAACAATACGACAAAAGCATTATTATCCTTATCATTATCAACGGTACAAGCGATACAACCTGAATACGAGTATCATCCTAGAAGAAGAAGAGTTGCATTTTGCCAGTGGCTTTTAGAACAACGGCAGAAATGAAGATTTACGAAATATATTTGTGTACAGACCAGGCCACATTTATACTTAATGGAGTGCACAATTTTCACGACAATCATGTTTGGGCAGTAGAAAATTCGCATGCTGTAAGAAGAACTCATTTTCAGCATAGATTTTCAATGAATGCTTGGGCTGGCCTGGTAAATGGCATGCTTATTGAACCCTACATTTTTCCACCTCACCGACCGGTGAAATTCAGTTAGATGATTTTTCGACACAATCTGCCACAATTACTAGAAGATGCTCCTCTAAATGTGACACAATATGTGGTTCCCGCATGATGAAGCTCCACCAAATTTTAGACGAGAAGTTCATGTTTATCTAAATAATGAGTTTCCGAATAGATAGATAGGGCCCAATGGACCCATTTCTTGGCCTGCTTGTTCCCCGGATTTAACTCCTTGCGATTTTTAGTAGGTCTATTTGAAAGAGGTGGTGTATCATGCTAGAATATCTATCTTTGCAAGAACTTCAACAGCGCACTGAAAATGCTTGTAATTTATTGCGTGGATACAGGAATTTTATTTTTGGAGCTTGTAAAGAGTCGTGGATTCGCCGAGAAAGATTTAACGTTAATCCAACAGTTTTGAACACTTTTGGAAAAAAAGGTATTCATTTAACTTGATAATGATAATTAATTTTTTTCTAAACTGGTAGTGTGGCAAGACTGAAAATATATTATTGGTCGGCTCAGATTCGTTCAGGGGGTCATGACCCATCCTGAATCTGCCCTTATGAAAAGCGACCCTCAGACGTGTTATATGGAAATACATGCTCATAAAAAGCTCTATTGAATGTAGGCTCCTTCATATTTTAACGTCCCACTGGTTCTACAAAACAATTAATTAAAATACAGCTAAGCATTGGTTGAGAGAGCTGACATTTTACAGATATCATTATTCACCATGATGAAATGCAACAAGCCCTTCCTTGGTAAAATATATGAAAACGACTCAGAAGTTTTGGTAGATATGCCTGTTTTACGTAGGACCTCGCACTTTAGGGGAAGTAAGCTTTTCCCCACCAAAAGCTTTCTCGCGACAAAAAGTTTTCCAACATACAGCGGTAGTTAAAATAGTGTGTGTCTGTCAATAATGTAAAATATGGACTGTAGATGCTCCTACTTGATGAAACTCTTCCTTCTTATGATCGATGTGAACAACTTTACTACGAAAGCTTCATACATTTGTTATATAAAAATATAGTAAGCTATTTGAAGGTTAGATACAATAATCTGACAAACCTATACGTAGGTTGGATAATATCTGCTTGTTTTTCTCTGCATCGATAAGCAACCACATTATACAACGTTGTTGCATGCTTCTTCGCAATCATCAGTTCGATATAGGGATAGTTATTTGGTAGCAAGACCGGCTTCTCAGGAGCGGACTAAGCTTATGTTCGTACAGTGGTCGGTGACTTGTTGGTAACTGTGTCTGGGATCCGGCCGTGTGGATTCTGTCTAAATAGCGTAGCAGATTGAACGGAGTTTGTGTAGCGGGACCTTGGACACGATCACTGAAAAGTTGATGACAGCTGTACGAACAGGACTAATGTCATCCAGAGTTGCCGAGAAATTGTGGTGTCCTGAAAGCTTTTTTGGCTTAGGTATGCCCGAACATTATTTTACATGGAAGCCACAATTACGTAACAATTTGTTATAACTGTAGATGGTATTAAATTGTAAAATTATCATGTACTTACATACAATCACGACATCATGTATGAATGTTACTAATACTCTAGCAGATGTATTTAAAGTGTCAATAGTTGAAGGTGAGTAACTTTGGCTGGCGTCGGCTTCACGGTTTGCAAATGATTTAATTATAGCTTATGAATTCCTGAATTTTATTGAGGCGGTATTCGCATGCAGGAAAAAAAACAGTTTATTTCATGTTTATCTTCGCGACTGGAATATACTACACCTCGGAGAAAATGGGTATCTATTTACATATAATAGTTATGTATGTACGTGTCACGAGCAACGGCAATAGTAATAAAAAATATTTCATTGCTAAATGGCAACAGACTACAATAAATAAAAAGAAATACAGATTAAAAAACAGCTTTGCATGCAATGAGCTATTAAAGGCTGCAAAAACACTTGTCTGCTAGGAAGGGTTTCAATTGATTTTTGATATACAGTACGATGTTGGGATGGGGAAATATAACTCTTCAGATATCTTGTGGTTGAGCGTGAAATTTGGGAGAACTGAACCCTAATCTTTTTCCAACAGAGAATAAGGATAGACTAATTTTGTTTCTGTGATGATACCGAGAATTTTAAGCAAACTATAAATGACTAATGATCGGTTCAAAGCAATTCTGAAAATGGATTAATATACTCATTATGATGAAGCTCGCTAATGATATATTCCACTTTACCACTTTTTTTTGAAAAAAAGTACGCTGATGGACAAATGATGATACTCTTTTAAAAACAATTATACATTCGCAAAAATAGCAACGTAACGTAAAACGAAACGATAACCTTACAGTGATATTTGCATAAAACAGATTTTTTCAATATAAAACTGGAATTTGGAAGAACTGGTCCAGTTTTTTTTTGGTAGATATCCATATAAATGGCCTAATTTAACGTTTCCAATGTATATCCAAATACAAGATAAGAGAGGAGTAATGTTGAAATATAGTGCTTGTGTTGTTCCTACGCATTAACATCACTTTGTGTCTGGTATTTTGATTTATATTTCACTCTCATTCAAATCAGTTCAAGTTTAACTGTTCACTAACCTTTACATGATAAATATGCGGTTACTGTCTTTGGACGAGGCATCAAGTAGGTACGGTTGTAAGCAGTAGCGTACCATCAGATTGCCAGACTCAATATCTTCCTACAGGCACTTACTAAGTAACGCTGTCTTCAATTCATAAGGAATTATATTCGGAACAAGTTAGTACCTCTCACAAAAGACATTTGCTAAGAACATGAATGACAAAGGAATTAAATGGATCATGTCAGTCTAACAGGCTCATACAATCAGTCCATAGTCCAATAATGCGATCTAGCCTACCGACTACGTAGCAACGTGGCAACGCAGCACGGGGATGCATACAGGAATACACGCATCATCGCTCAGTCATCCCTCAGGATTCAAAGCAGAGAGGCGTACGCACGATATCGAAGATATATATTTATCATTCAAGTTTTAAGCTCAAACTTACCGGGAAGTCTATGATGTATGAAATGTATATAATAGGTGATTAGAACTACCTGGGTTGGAAAAGTAAAAACTGCTCACACCAAAAAATGACATGTACTCTCACCACCTCCTACAACTCCCAACATCCAATTTTCAATCCGTACAATTTTTTTTCTGGAAATGACTAGCATCCTCTGAAACGTGAAAAAAAGAAGTTCGACCGATGTTTTTTTTTTCGTTTTTGGCCTTTTTCTTTGCCGCCACTACAGCGAACTACAAAGTTTTTTGTGCTTGGCATAGTACTAACCTTGTGTGAAAATTTCATCAAAATCCGAAGGGCACTTCCAAAGTTATAGAAGACCCAAGGATTAACGGACAGACGGACCAACAGACAGACATACTAACGGAAATGACTGACATGGTTTTTCGTGATCTAGATCATATAATAAAAACAGTATCTCATTTGCGAATTTGACGTAAGTAAAAAATAACCACTACATCTGCAGCTTAAAGAACGCTTAAATATGACATCTGAGGAGCTTTGAGCCCTCTAAAACATGAAATGGCGATGTTTATTTTTTGATTATTATAAAATCGCCAATGCACCAAGTAAAAAAGTTTAGCAAACTTCATTCAACACTGGTGCTTTTTGTTTTGATCGCAAAAGCTATTACATGAAGATCCGGTATCACCTCAAATTCGAGATGGTTTTTTTTAGTCATTTTTTTAAAATATTCTATAATTGCATCTATAACTTACCTCATCATCGCTACTTTTTTAAAAAAAAAAAAAATGAAACCTGCCTACATCTATGGAAAGCGTCTATCATATACGCATTGTTTAATATTTACAATAGCGGTACTTTTAAAGCCCATTGTTTACAAATTCAGCAACCACCAATTCAATACTTTCTCATTGAACGTACGTACATACGTTTATCAACGATCGTTACTGACCACATAAAGCAAACCATACACTTTACAACTGCTGTGTAGGTATTGGTTAAAAGTACGGATATGACATTCAGTTGAAGAACTAGTTATTTAACACACGATTTTACTTTCTTCAGTAAAAATCAATTTCTCACAAAATTATTGCTTAGAAAATTAGTAGATTTCATTATTTGACTGGCAACACTAGCTTTTCGTTGAGGTCTAGTTACACTATTACAGGTTTGTCTGTGCACTTTGCGGATTTGGTCAAGCGTACCACCTCACAACCGTGGTTACAATATTTGAGAAAATCTTATTTACTTTTACGTCATAAATCATTCAAATTGGCTAACAATATAGACCAAACGGATTTGAAGTCAAGCGATCTATGATTCAAAATAGTCACAACCATAGGAGTGACGAGAAGAGAATTAATAGGCATAGTTCTTTCTGGCAACGAACTTCTGACGATTGTTGTAAACCGTTTGAAAATTATAACTAGAATATGATTGATACTTCTATCACATAAATTACCGACGCCAGACAAAAGCTTTAAAAATCCCGGACATTTGGGTGAAATTGAGATTTTTTCCCGCACAAACGATTTTTTTTAAATATAATAAATGATAACATCATTTTCATTTTCAATTTTCTTAATTGTATCTCGACTTAAACTTACGCCATTCCATATGAAATACTGAAAGCATTACTAATAAAATACACTTCTCTCTTTCAGAAGTAAGCTGGTAACAAAAATAATTGAGAACAACGTCCTTCTTAGCATCAAAGTAAAAATAAATTATAATTATATTTTTAGGTTCTGTGAATAATAAAATAAGGTACAAAAATGTGACGAATAAAAAACATCCGATTTCGATGGAAGGCCGAGTTCTGCCAAAGAGCCATTCATTTCGGCTGGTCGGAGTCCAGATCACCGAGAACCTGATCTGGCACGTCAATAGGGGTAGCTACATTATTTATGCTCGCTGATGTACGGAGGAGGGCTGTCAGACTGATCGATGACTCTTCTCTGATAGACAGTCTCGCAACCCTTTCGCACCGAGGCTGTCGGCGATCTAGCTCTTTTCTACCGCTACACCAACGGGCGTTACTCCCCAGAGCTCTCTTCCATGATGCCGCCGCGCTATATGCTTGCCAGACAGATCCGCCTAACTTTGGCGTCCCATCCTAACCGTGTCGAGCTTCGCACATCCAGAACTGGCCGATACGATCGCTTCTCTGCCCGAGGCTGTCGAAATTGTGAAACAATCTACAAGAGGAGGCTATTCACAGTTCTGCTAACCTTGGGTAGTGCAAAAATCGGATTAACAAAATTTCTTTGAGATCCTCATAGCAGCAGCGGTGTCCTGGCATTTAGGCTTCTGCCTGCGCGGGTGTTTCGGTGTAAAAAGAAGTATGAAGCAAATTATGAGTTATCCATCCATCCTAGGTTAGGCGCAATAAAATCTAAGCAATTTATTAATTATAAATTAGAAGTAAATAATAATTTTCAGTTTTAACGTGATCAAGTTCTTTTTACTTATTTTGCTCCTTCTTTTATCGAATGCGTAATCGATCGCAAATGCACAAGCTGACTGGCAGTGTTGAATGTTCAAATGTTAATGAATCAGTTACCATTCACCACAGATTCACTTCTTCACTTTTTTTTGAGGAGTTGGCACCAGTCTCTCTGCAAAAATCTAGTAATGCACGATAGACCTATCAATTTCCAGATGCTATTAATATTTAAATATTCAGTAGAAGTGAGAGAGGTGATTCTCTTAATCTTATTTTGTGAAGGTGTTCTGGGAAATGTCCATGGTTCATTATGGTTTATGTAGCAGAGCACTTCTTATTGATGCTAAATTTGAAAATGTGCGGCGTACACGTGGGAAGAGTTTTACGTAGCTGCTATTACTTTTTGACAGATTTCCATTGAAATAGTTTGACACCCCGAAACAATGTTTATCTGGTATACAAAATGGTAGTTTTTCTCTAGCTCCTGAAATAATAGCTGATTTTGCAGCCATGTCAGCCTTTTCATTTCCTTGTCCTTTTACCCAAATAACGATAACTTGAGTACCTGCTAAAAATAGCTCACGAATGAGACTAAGAACTTTGAAAACGACGCCGACGTGCTTAAGTTTCGTAGAACCTATTACAGTTTCTAACAAGGACCTTGAACCTGTAAGGACTGCAACATTTTTTGAATTATTTTCAAGACACAACCTCAAACCTTATTCGATAGCTACTGCCTTCGCGGTATAAATGCTACATACATCAGGAAGCAGGCATTTTTTAATTACATTACCTGGTTGGTATCTGGGAGAGACGAAATGAAATCGTAGCACCAGATAGTCTGTTTACACTCGCGCAGAGCGTTGGCACCGCCTGGCTGGTTGTACAGGGCGGTGCAAATGTGCTTGTTCAGGGTGATGCAAGTTATTGAATTGGAGTGTACAACGAGGAGGGGGTACTGTTGGCTGACTAGTTAAGATGCAAAATAGAAAACGTGAGGTTGCAGCCATACTGCTATCTAAAATTAGAAAGAAAGTTTGTTCTGTGTTCATGTCGAGCTTTTGAAAATGTCTATTTTCTTCTTCATGGCGAACTACAAAATACATTACAATATGTATTAATAAAAAACTGCTTACAATGTTGAAATCCGGTTTCAGGACAAGCAATCTCATAAAACGAGGAAAAAAGTCTGCAAACATGAAAACAACAAACTCACAGGTCATAATGTGTAAAACCTGTCATATTTAAAATTCATGAATGAATGATTTTTTAAAACCTATACTAATCGATGGACACACTATTAAAACCAAACAAAGCAGTTGTTCTAGCCGGCAGGACATTTGGTACAGTTTCTTACAAATTTTATTTTAAGTGAGGGGAAAAAGAAAAGAGAACGCATGACCATATACAATGTTGTAAAGGAAACAAAATGTGCAGCCAATAGCGTGATGCAAAACATTCGGGGTAGGGAGGAGACAGATTTAACATACAGGGTGGCGCATCGAAAACGAAACAGACGCATTTACTGGCAGCTCAGTTTTTTTTGGAAAAACGCTCAGACCCGGCGATTTTGTCTTCGAGGGGGACACAAGTTTGGCAAAAAATCACGTTAACACGTGCAGCCCCCTGGGTAGGGGTAATACCAACCCTAAAATCTTAAATGGAAAGGAGGGTCGAGTGATACCTTATTTTAAAGGTCTGTCAATTCCCTTTATAATGATGTACAATACATGAGCTTCAGTTAAGTAGTTTTGAAGATTTATTGATTTAAAGCTTAAAGTAGATTTCAATAGGTACATCAGATTAGTTTGTACTACTTTCAGAAGAAATTTGACTAAAAGAGTTTACTTAATAAGTGAATGCTTTTCTTCACTACGCCCATGGTTTGTTTATCATTTTGTTGTTGAAAAATAGCTTGGGGCGTTTTTTTTGTGGCAAAAAAGTTATTTCTTGAAGAAAGATAAGGAAATATCTCGTACTTATTTTAAATAGGAATTTAGTACATAGTTTGCAATTGATTTGACCAAACTATGTTGCTAAAATAACTTGTAACGCTTTATTTCATTAATTAACCATGGTATATTCCACAGCAGAAAGAGTTGAAATTATCGAAATATTTTTCCGAAATAATCAGTTCGCTAATAGAACAGCATAAATATTTAATGAGCGACATGAGAACAGTAACATAAGGAACGAAGCAATAGAAGTGGGGGTTTTAGGGCATGTTTATGTAGATCCTAAGTTAGGTACCCGCAAATTGGAGACTGTGTGTGGTATTAGTCGACGTACTGTCCAACGGATTCTGGGGGTCCATAGTTTTCATCCGTATAAAATTCACCTGGTACAAGAACTTAATGAAGACGATTTTGATCGGCGATTACAATTTTGTGAAGATATGAGTGAACGAATTATAAACGATGAACATTTTCTATTCAACACTTGCTTTTCCGACGAATGTTCCTTTTTCTTAAATGGCGTAGTAAATGGTCATAACTGCTGATATTGGTCCGATTCTAATCCCAGAATTTATCATGAGGTTCATACACAGCAGCCACAAAAATTAAATGTTTGGGCTGGTATTTTTGGCGATCATTTAGTTGGTCCTTTTTTCTTACCTGAAAATTTGACCGGTGAATTGTATTTGGAATTACTGGAGGACGCCTTAGATCCTGCCTTAACAGCCATAATTGAAAATCAGAATGATCGGCGGTACATTGCGAATAGGTTGATCTTCCAACAGGCCGGTGCCCCACCACATTACGCATTACGTGTTCGATAATATTTAGACCAGACGTTTCCAGATCGATGGATTGGTAGAAGAGGTGCCATTGAATGGCCCCCAAGATCGCCAAATTTATCACCTTTAGATTTCTTAATGTGGGGTCATTTAAAAAGCAAAATCTATGCTACTCAGCCAACATCATTAGAAGACCTGCGACAAAGAATTGTGAATGAGTGTCTTCAAATTACTCCTCAAATATTGCAAAATGTGCGGCATCGTTTTGAGCAAAGTCTTTATTATTGCATGGAAAGTCATGGTGTCCATTTTCAACATTTACTTGCCTAACGGGTCAGTTCATTCTTCATTTTTAAATTACTTCGCTGCCAAATGTATTGATCTCCACTAATGATGATGTACTTATTAGTTTTATTTAAGCTTTAAATCAATAAATTTTAAAAACTACTGAACTGAAGTACATTAATTTCATATCATTGTAAAGGGAATTGAAAGACCTTTAAAATAAGGTATCACTCGACCCCCCTTTCCGTTTAAGATTTTGGGGGTGGTGTCACCACCGCTTAGGGGTCTGCACGTGCTAACGTAATTTTTTTGCCAATCTTGTGTCCCCCTTGTAAACAAAATCGACGGGTCTGAGCGTTTTTCAAAAAAAAAACTGAGTTGCCAGTAAATGCGTCTGTTTCGTTTTCGATGCACCACCCTGTATAAACATACTGGTGGTCAGCAGTAGAGGCTAATATGAATACTATCAAAACATAGAATACAAAAATCTTACATTTCATAAGATTACTCTGACCCAAAAATTTTTTGGGGAATTTCAACCACTTTGAACCCCCTTCATCGGACGGCGCACGGACACCCTCTAAACTGGGACAAATCCGGGTGAGGAAGAATTGTGATCTCGAAAAATGTTGAAACAAAGATATTTTTTGGATGTTACATACACATATACATCACGAAAACCCATGTCATTCATTTCCGTCAGTTTTTTCTCTGCCAATCATTGACCCGTCTGTATTTTAGAAAGTACTGCTCGGATTTTGATGAATTTCGCTAAAGTGGCAGTGGGACTAGGAGCAAAAACCAAAAAATAAAATCGCTCAAACTTTGTTTTTTGACGTTTCCGAGACTCTTGTTCGTTTTTGGAAAATCTTTTGAGGAGTAAAAAATTTAGGGGTGGGGAGTGCAGGAGGAGTGGGAGGTAGTACCTCAATTTATTGGTGGTAGTATATTCGTAAATTTCTAACTACAGTAATTCTACACTCCTATTAGAAATATTTCACACATCGATTTCTCCAGAAACATCACGTAATTCATTTGTTTGACAGTCGTAGATAGTCAGAAATTTCTTGTCGAAAATAATTGAGTGACTAGATAATTTGATTATCTTTTTATATATGTTTTTTGTTGAGTTCTTTCTAAAAGGACCTAACTTATGTCGAACATAATATTTTATGAATTAATAACGCCGTTTCTTTCTTGTCTCTGAAAATAGAAATGATCCTTATGCATGATGTAAGGTGTGTGGTCAGCCTAACACACATGTATGTTAATTATGCATCTCATCACGAATCCAGCCAAACAGTCTATCCGTCCGAAACCTGTCTGGGGTCAATAAGAACCGAGAATCTTCCTATAAAGCACGCATCGTACTTTCCACACACTTCAGTCCAACCATGTCACTACAACTCGCGTCTCTGGCACTCCTCTTGTCAGCCACGTGCTCGTTCGGTAAAGTTTACGACCGCTGTCAATTGGCCAAAGAGCTGCGACATGTCCACGGAGTGTCCATGGAACAACTGTCCACGTGGGTTTGCATCGTGCAGCATGAATCGTTGTTTGACACTGCGGCTATGAACCGGGGAAGTGGGGACCACGGGTTAGTGCAACAGTTTAGTTTATGACAGTGACATCATACAAATATGCATAGTAGCTTGCCAATGTTGATCTAGCTATCAGTGAAAGAGAGAAATTCATAACCAAATGATTTTCAGAAAGTAGTTTGTAGTTCTTCTGGGAGCTAGAAGCCCTTACTTGAATTGTCTGTATAGTCTTTATCCCTAAAGGTACACTTTTGTAGTATTTGTTGCTTTGTATTTTTTTAGAATATATAACTTTGCATATAAAAAGTCATAAACAGTCTGTTACAGAATGGAGTAAGGAAAACTTTAGAACAGATATAGCACATAAAAATATAATAAAAGTTCATATGAACATAGATCCGGAAATTCTTTACCTTAAATTTTTGTAGAACAAATTGAGCTAATCAGTTTTTGGTATATGCGAATATTTAATGAAATGTCATGATACATCGGAATTTCCTGAACCATGAACTTTACATATTTTTTTCGTGCTAAATCTACCCTTGAAACCTGACGATATTCTGTGGGAAGCTTTATAATAGAAAATAAATATAGGGGTGAAATACTGCTACAAATATTAGACGAATTCCTAGGCCTTTAGCAAAACATTCAAGCTTTCATTAGCTTTTTGAGAAATGCTACAATTAATGGTAATGTAAGTTCACCGATACTATAAGAGGAATTAACAGAACGTGAGGATTGCACAGATAATTAGTAAAACTCAGTATAAATGAACATACAGGGTTGTTGATCTACGCACGTCAAATCTTTAGTATGACTTATTTCAGGCGAATTGAATGGTTTTTGTTGAAATATAAGTTTTTGTTTCAGTATTTTTTCATCATTTTAATTTTAACAAACGAGAAACGGAATGTATCAAAATGCACTGAATTTGACTATCCAGGCCAGTGTAGAAAATCAGGTCCGGATTCGTGCTTTCACCACAACCCTACGTTAGATTTAATTACATAAATCACACATGGTACATCACACAATTAAATGTCAAGTCCGGACCTGCATACTACGTTTTTAGCTCAAAGTTGATATGGAAGGTCAAATTTAGAGAATTAAACTCCGTTTCGCTTTTTAACAAGAACTCATGTTGTACAACATCAGTTAAATCTTTAAAAAACACCGAAAAAAGTGAAAAGTGATTCTTTATAACATGTATTGCCCTTGTCTCTGTAAAGTTATAATACATTCAGAGTATAACGTAGAGACGTTGCAAATAAAAAAGTAAATTCGACCTTGGTATTTTGAGATCCCAAAAGATCTTTAGTTTAATTTAAGCATGATGAAACCAAGATCGTAGACCTTGAAATTTTGAGTTTCGTGTCACATAAACTGCTTAAGATAAGTTATTTGAATAAATAAAAATGTTTAAGATAAAAACTAAGAGAGATACAATCTGTTTTGCTAATCTATTAACACCATTCATATTTTTTTGTACATAATGAAAAATTTCAATATTTAGCTTAAAGGGTGCAGATTTTAATAAAAAAACAAAAAATCTAATCTGGTCCTGGATTTTCCAACCATCCGTCTAGTTTTACGTTACTCCTAGGTAACTTAGTTATCGTGCAAAATTTAGAACTTTTTTAAATATGAAAAGGTCGCGGTCCATACTACCTACCATTTCACTATGTCTATTTAAGCATGGAACATCCTGTATATCCTGCTGTTCATTCTCAAATAAAAATAATAAGGCATTGATGTTAATAATATTAATTTGCATTTGTTGATACCGGAATTATTGTAAATGAGCGCGTTCAGCGAACGTGGAGCGGTCCAGCAGAGCAGCGATTTTATGCTGAATAACAGTAGCCATGGAATAGCTTTGTCAGCTTGACAACAGATATCATTTGGTTGGCTGTTACATTTGACAGTTTGTTGATTAAACATTGTGAACTGTCAAAGCTATTCCACGGCTACTGCTATTTACCATAAAAGCGTTGCACCGCTGAACTGCAATTTCATTGCTTCATAGCACTCGTGAACAAATCGTGTTTTTTTAAAATTTAGCTAACGATAACCATCATAAAAATACTTGAAGTCAATGCAACGGTACTTGAGAACCATTTTGGTTGCTGTCTTTTCAAGTTTTATGATTCTTAACATATAAGATTACCTATTGATTTTGCAGTTTTTCTGGAGAAAGCTGATTGTTTGACTGGAATATGGTGAAAACTACTAAAGGGAATATTTAGGTTCATATTTAGAAACGCCAAGTTGTAGTAAAGTTGGAATAATATATTGAGTAGCTATAAGAGGACCCTAGAACCAGAACTAATTCAGGAAAATTATTTGGTTATGAATAAACTTTTACTGTTTCCTTAAATTGTTGACACGTGTCGAAAGACCATAACTGTAGTGTTTTCGATCATAGAGATTCATTTGATTTGAAGCTATTTTTTTCGAATTATTTAGAATTCGGCAATATAATAACAAATATGAGGTAAAAGGGCGAAAGACCCATTTTATCAATAACGGTGAATGTGCCCACCAAATGCATACAATTTTTAACAGCTAAATGGAATGGTCGTATGCAGATAAACTTTAAGCATCGAATCCTTGGTCAATTTCGAAGACTAAATGTTCATATGAACATGGGTCAGTAACGGCTTTGTTTTCAAGCTAGAGCACTATCACTAAAGAAATAAGAGTAATGTTCCAAATATTTCTATGAATAATGAAACGTATTTATTGAACAGTTGGTATAACCTATGATAAATTTTGCATGTTTTACAAGTTACTAAGGCTCAATATGAACGTGGATGAAAATAGTATTATCATGTATTTTTGGAAAAAAATTTTTTAGAAGGTCAATAGTTTTGAACAGTAAAGTAACATTCGAGTATAACGACAACAATAGAACAATAGAAAATATCGAATAGTTTTTTTTACAATAAATGTTCAAAGTGGCCACGAATTATTTGAGAAAATAAATTAATTCTATTGTTTTCGGGTACGTCATAGGTGTCTAGATAAGCACAATGCTTAAATATTAAAAGTATTGCGATCAAAACAAATTGTCATGCTATTTTTTCAAGAAATACTGGATAACATTATCCTTATCTACGTACATGGAGGGTCTGAAAACAACTGTCAGTCATGTGATATTCGTTCCATTCTTTTATTCTTTCATGATTTTTTAGAACAATATCATCATTTCTTTTAATGCTAATATGCTCTACCTTGAAAACAAAGCCGTTGCGGACCCTTGTTCATATGGAAATTTTGTCTTCAAACTGACCTATGATTCGATGGTTAAAGTCTGCCTACATACTTTATGAACACCCTGTATACAGGGTGTCCGAAAAGTTGGGGTTTTCCTTTACACGAAGTGTAGATCTTGAAAACATAAGCAATTTTTCTTAGTACCATATACACCAATGTCTTAAGGGAACCGAGATAAAGGGCTCTGCAACATCAAAAATATCTGAATACCGTCCTGTAGCCGCGACGTCCCCGAGTGGTACTAGGACACTAGCTCAACCCGACAACAGAACTGGGTCGGGGTCAGTGTGTCAGGTCAGTATGCAACCTTCAACCGACGGTTACGGTCACGCGTGTAGAGGTAATCGCGTAGACGAGAATCCCTCAACAAGCACTAGAGACGTGGCTAGAGAAGTGCAAGTATCAAAAACTAAAGTGTGGCAAACGCTGCGTGAAGAGGGGCTGTATCCGTTTCACGTCCAACGTGTACAAGCCCTTCAACCTGACGATTTTCCAGCAAGTGTGCGGTTTTGTGAGTGGTTGTTGCATCAACATGACAATAATCCGGACTTTTTGAAGTGCATATTGGTGACAGACGAATCTACGTTCACGCGTAATGGGGTGAATAACTTTCGCAACACTCATGTTTGGTCAGTAGAAAATCCGCACGCTGTCCGTCGGGCACATTTTCAACAAACATTTTCGGTGAATCTTTGGGCTGGCATGGTGAACGGTATGCTCATTGGACCATATATTATCCCAAATCGATTGGACGGGATGCAATAACTAGACTTTTTACGCAACATTTTGCCTTCCTTGTTTGCCTGCGTCTGCTCGGTAGCGCATCAGTTAATTTTATTTTCTGTTGGAGCGGTATGATTTCGGGCAGAGACGTACTTAGCCCTCCTCGTCAACTGGAGAGTGAGTACTTTTTCCTTTATTTTTTTTTACTTGATCGCCCTCGTTTCACTACACATTACCTTTGTTATTTCAAGGGTAGTTGTTTCTGAAAAGGAAAACCCCAACTTTGCGGACACCCTGTATGTATATTCAAAATCGTCAAAGTATGGGTTGCAACCCTTAAATTACCAAATAGTAAGCAGGAGCTTGGAACATATCTTTTTGAAGCGTCTCTTTGACGTTTCCCCAACAAATCGAAATCTGCAATTGCGCATTTTGAGTTTAAAAATAACATACTTGATTACACGTAATTTTCAGACCAAAACATATCATGAATCATAATAATTAGCGGATGCCTGACATACTCGCACCTGATATCTTAGGTTTTGATGTAATGTCCCGATCAATCATACATTATAATATACTTATAATTAAAAAATAATAATTTAATAAACAGGACTCCTTTGTCTACTAAGAAAAAATCGACTAAGATGCTATACGTATATCGCCAGTCGGTTATATACGAGTAGCTTGCTGGCTGATGAAATAAAAAAAGAATAGCTTCGTTATCAAAATTTAAAAAGGAAATCCTAACTTGAAGAGGGGCAAGAACAAGTTCACAGAGTCGTAGAAAATAGGTAAAATATAATACTTACATTAAGGTGTCATGTTGATATTTAAAAAAAATCTGTTAGCGGTTTTATTATATATAATATAAGTTTGACTCATCTATTATGTTTTTTTTATTGATAAAGTTCATTACTGTTTCTTTATCTTTAGTATTTTCAATAGCTTTTACTATAAATATGCAACGTCATGTAGCAGGGCAATGATAAGTTGAAAGTGTTAGACATGAATGAGTATATTCCCTCACGTACATGTTTATTGCGGGATGCGCTTTTTTTTGCTCCTTAACTGAACAATAACTATAAGTATACCTCGAAAATGATTTATGAGAAACCTTTATTTCCCATTTAAAAAAGGCTTGCAACCCCCACTTTGAGAGTTGGATTTAGGGATTCATTTACTTTTACCACTTTGTTGCTCAAACATGATGTCATAATTTTCTTGTGTATCTCTTCCAACTACTGCATGTCTTAATTTTATATCCTATTTACCTGGTCAAAAATCTATTTCCTCTATTGGACGCAGGTTGTTCCAGATCTCTGAGATCTATTGGTGTTCCCCTCCGGGTACCGGATGCAACAGAGACTGCTCTTATTTCCGGGATGATGATATCAGAGATGACGTGCAATGTGCGATGACCGTACACAAGGAACATTCTCGGTTGTCTGGGGATGGGTTCACGGCTTGGGCGGTGTACCCCCTCTATTGTAAAGGAGATACCTCCAGGTAGAGTGATTGGATGAGGTCGAAGTATGTTGTCTAGTGGTTGGAAAGAATTACCTTTTCCGCAAGAACCCCAACATGTATTAAAATCGCAAAATGGAGGGGTTAACTTTTGGCATTTCCTGAACATGAAGCAAATGTTCAAGAGATTATTATTTGAACTATTGTAAACCTATTTTGTCCGCTAGTGATGCAGTAAACGTTGTATTTTCGAAAAGAGTTTAAAAAAACAGTTTTCCAAAGTAAGACAAACTAATTTCTTGCCAACCTTCTTTTTAATTTTACTATTGATTTGCAAGTACCTATATTCAAAATCAACATGTGAAGAAATCTCACCAAGTATATCCGGCAGGGAATAGAAATAATCGGCCCTACTGCCAGAACGTTTCTACCTTTTGATAGAAATTACACAGGCCTACGAAATTTAACTTCTTCTTCCATCTTCCAATGTCTCTTATGTTTTACTTGACTGCACTAGAAGGAGGGATATGTTTTTCTCGCGTGGGTATGTATATAGACAAAAAAATTTATTCCATGGATCAACGATTTGATCGATCTTGACATATGAGGTGTAGTTGGATTCGTATTGGCAGCGCGAGTATTGCTGGCTGTATTAAAATTTCATAAAAACAAAATGGCAGATTTTTGTAGAAAATTCGACCTTGAAATTCTTATTTTAAGGGCTACACCTTAAACGTGTGCTGTAATTTGACATGAGGTGTCTCTAGATTTGTCTTGACAGTGCGAGCGGGTATAAAAAGTTTATAAAATCAAAATGGCGAAATTTAAACCAAAATGTCATAAGAGGTGTCTCTAGATGACTCTCTCAACCCTGGATGTGCTTACTCCCTGGTAACATGTCCTTGACGAGATTTATCGCTTTCAAACTTATAATTACTCAACAAAACACTACTTACACCAACTTCCAATTAAGTGATCATTCCGTTTCATAATATAATGTTTTGACTTCTAGCGCTACCTTATGGACGAAGAGTATAGTTTGGTATTTGCAAGTAGTGTATGCAAAATATACCAGATTCGGGCTATCAGAGTTGACCAGGGCTTTTGGGGTTGCTGATTTTGCTTAAACACTTCATATATTTATATAATACTACTACTTATCTATACAGCAAAAACCAAATTTGAGAAGTGTGTATCAACACATGTTAGAAAGAGATAGAAGCCGGCTGGAGATCGAACGTCGTCACACACACATTGCCTAGCATCCCTGATGCAATCTGCCGCGTTATTCCAGAAAATGTTCGCACAGGCTACTCCAATAGATTAGGTTATTGTCAAACCCAAGAAGGAGGTCTGTTCAAATACTCGATTTGATATTTTGTTTTCATTTTAATTAGAATTATTTATTTCAATTTTGATGCGTCTTAGTGCTTTGTTTTAGAATTATCTAAAGTTGTTGAGCACCCTTAGGACCGATCCTAAGCAGAGTTGACATAATTCATTATTCGACAATGTGTACGCTCAAAATAAAACCATTATTTGGGCGTAAAGTATAAATTAACGCATATTTTAAATATGGATCTTAATTCAAGGAACCGGTATAACATATTGGCAACGCTGTGATGAGCCTCGCTATCCAGGCGGCTCGTATCTCTTTGTAACAGATGTGTCTATCCACATTTCTCTCTCGTACACATTGAACTCAAGCCGTCAGACAAATTTGGCTCATAGTGTATAGAATTTCACACTTCTTTGATGTTCCCGCTTTTTCACTGTTTCAATTAGGATTAGATATAAGAAGCGGTCATACTAGGAAAATGAAAGTGATTTTTTCAGAAAATATACGTGATGGAGATGTTTATTTTTCCCTAGCTTAAAACCTAATACCTATCCAAATTGCTGATTTTTAAGGGGAAAACCATCGCAGGCCTGTGTAATTTGTGACTGTTGCTTGGGCTATTAACTGGTTCACAAAATGTTAAGGTATCATCTCAACATCAGGTGTTTGGTCCTCCGGCCATATTTTAGGTCGTTAAGAGATCTTATTGTAACATAGACAGAGAATAGGCTACTCTGGGGTCAAGTCAAAAAATTGCTTTGTTGGATAATATTTGGAAAAGCTAATTCTGTCTAGCTATCTTTTAGAGGCATTTGGAAACAGAAAAGTGTCAGCTACAACTTATTAATAGCATACGGGGTGTTATTTGATGATGCCGTGATTACAAGGACATTTTCCTGATCCAAATTTGTGTAAAACATTTCATATAAACAAGTGGTCTAAAAAGTCTGGTTTTCAAGATACAGCGTAGCGAACTTGTTTCTACTTACCACGCCTGCTTGCGAAGAAGTATTGTAATCGCGAAAAATTTTAAATATGAAATATTATGTTTTTTGGATGTTATTTGACAGATACATCATGAAAAACCGTGTAACATATTTCCTCCCGTCTTTATGTCTGCCAGTCTGTCTGTCTGTTCGCTAATCCTTAGCCCGTCTATAACATAGAAAATACCGCTAGGATTTGGATGAAATTTTTGCATAAGATTACGACTATACCAAGGACAAAAAGGCTTTGTAGTTTCCAAAAATTGGTCCAATGGCGGCGAAGAATAATGCCAAAAATGGAAAAATAAAAATAGCTCAAACTTCGTTTTCTGTCCTTTCAGAAGCTCCTGTGTTCGAAATTTTTTGTAGGGGTTAAAAATTGGGCTTAGGGGATACATGATGTAGGGGAGGGTATATTTCAGTTTTATGGTTTAGGGTATATGTACACCCGTTCATCCCTAGTAATTCTATGCACCATCAGACCTAGATGTCCCCATTTATTTACCCTTGAAGCTTAAAAATATCTCCAACAGTCGCGTGTCGATACGTGCGACGTGTTCCGGCTGATGCTCGTGCGTCGCAGTCAGCAATCATCAGCCTGAAATTATTTCTTAATTTTGCTATGCTTTCTCACTATGTATCGTGAAAACCATAGTTCTTGGGATACATAGACGGCTATATGAATGATTATACTTAAATTTGTTTCAAAAATGCGCCCTTGTATAATAATTGCGGCCTATCATTGAGTAATACCTTGTAGAGGTAGTCTGGAAAAATACTCCACCGGTCTGGAGTATTCCCTATGATGGGATCGTTTTTGTAAATCGGTGCCACATTTGTCAAAATGGTTAATAACGACTGAGTTGAGAATAAAATGACCTTTTTTTGATTCCTAGTACCTCTAAAGTTGACAACAAGTAGTATACACTGATATATTTGAAGTGCCATCATACTTGTCAATGTCCACTTCTTTTTACAATGATCTAGTAAAGAGAGATAATTCTTGTTAAAACCATTTTTCCCTTTCATCCTTCGATACCTCAATAATCAGTATGAAACTGCGTTTTAGAGAATTTTGCACGAACTTCCTTACGCCTACATCATTTTGAAAAATGTAATTGTCGCGCATGAACCAATATTCCATGTTTGGTTAAATGGAATAGATCGTTGGACACGGTAGCTGCTGTCGGTAATGTGAAAAAGTAAGATAGAACCTCATTGCTGCTTTTTCCTTTTTACGCCAATTGAAAAAGGAAGAATTGTAATGGCGAAACAATTTTGAAATCTAGATATTAAGTTTTTTTGAATGTATGATATACGTCACAAAAAATCATGTCATTTACTTTCGTCAGTCTGTCTGTCCTTAGTTCGATAATCCTTAGAACCTCTGTAACTCGCAAATGTAACTACTGTACTAAGGAAGAAAATGCTTTGCGAGTTTCGAAAATTGGTCTAGTGGCAGGGGGTTTATAAGAGAAGAAGTAAGATTTCATATTTCGATGTCTTTTGAGATCCTGATAATTTTTGGCGCAGTCGATTTTTTTTAATGGTTCAACAACTTAGAACTTACAAAACTTTGTTTCAGTATGTTATAATTTTGAAAGTTCATTGCGTACTGAGACAATAGAACACAATTTTTTGCACAATACATAGTTATATGTCTTTTAAATATCGCCTAGTTTCATTTGACTTCCTACGCCACTGGTGAGGATTGTATTTGCTAAGCATTTCGAAAATGAGATACCATGTTTTTGGATATCATATGACATGGTTATAACTTGGAAAGTACCGCTTGAATTTGGATAAAATTTTCACTTCAGGTTAATACTATGTCAAGGACGGAAAAACTTTGCAGTTTTTTAAAATTGGTCCAGAGGCAGCGAAGCGACAGGACAAATAACAAAAACATTAAAATCGCTCAAACTTCACTGTTGGATGTTTAAGAGGCTCCTCATCATTCTCAGAAGAAAATTGTAGGAGTTAAGAATTGGGGTTTGGGGGCTGAAGGTCTTAATTTTTTATGTATAATCGTAGGTACCAAATTTCACATATCGTAGATTTCCTCCTATATTTGTACTTAATGCTGAGAATGATAGAGAAATGTTTTTGATATGCGTCTTTGCTTCTGCTCTCTGGGCTCACCGGTGGGCGTTCCAGTCTCGGTAACTATACTGCGGTGCCACGCTGTGACATTCGGTCAGATATGGGGGAGGGGCAACGGTACTACCAGTAGAGCGAGGAAATAATGTCTATGTGCTAATTGGATGGACCTGTTTGACTGACTTGATCTGTTTATTTCTTAATAACACATGTTAGTAACTAACTTTTTCTCAGAAGGCTTAACATGTGCCGAATGTAATCCTTTACGAACTGATGACGGCGTTGCGTGGGAAGTGCAGGGTCAACCTACTTGCCGCTATCTTTGTTTATGTTAGAGAAATACTTCATATGGTGAAATCTTATTTTTCGTGTTGATATAATTTACATAACAGAAATAGAAGAGTTTCAATCAGTCAGAGCACTTACAGTTTAAGGTATTTAAAAAACAATTAGTAGCCAATCAGGAATATTTTTAATCAACCATTTAATCTGACAATTATATACAAACTCTAATAAAAACGCAATTCTTCAATACGCTTCACACTAAAACTTATAGTAAACTGCGTATCTAGCGTTCTTTATCTTTCTTAGTCGACATTCAGAAGTATGGCAGCACTCTAAAACTCAGCCAGACATATCATTTCCACGATCTACTTCCAGATACATCAGCGACTGCTTCCAAAACGAAATCGACAATTCCATCAACGTCATCGATGAAGCAGACCTTCCTCCTCCAGACGAGTACGGATATAACTTTCCACCACTTCCCACGTACCAATCAAAAGCTGCTTTGCAAGCTGGTTCTAAAGTTTACTCCCGCTGCGAGCTAGCCAAGGAACTAAAAGAAATTCACAGATTTCCAGAGGAGGAGATCTCAACTTGGGTCTGCATAGCAGAACATGAATCAAGTCTCAACACCTCAGCTTTGGGTGCTGGAGACCATGGACTCTTCCAAATATCTCAGCAGTATTGGTGTTCCCCGAATTCGATAGGACTTGCTTGTAATGCAAACTGTGCTTCATTCAGAGATGCAGATATTTCGGATGATCTGAAGTGTATCAGAACTATCTTCAACGAACACACGGCTATATCTGGAGATGGTTTCAATGCCTGGGTGGTATATCCAAGGTATTGTAAAGGAGATACCAGCAATTATGTGCAAGGATGTTTTAGTCCTATTAAGAAGATCAGTGACAATGTGATTGATAGAGATTCCAACGACGTATATGACCACACTACAATCAGAAACTACTATGGATCTACTTTCCCTACTCGATATAAATCAACCACAGAGCATTCCACATTTAGAAGTAGCTACACACCTAAGAATAACACGCTTGGAGCGTTAACGACTAGTTCAAGAAGTAGTCCTTTATCTTCATCTTTTTTATCAACTATAGGAAGAACTAGTACTTACAGGCCAACCACGGTTCGTCCAGCTACAACGACAAGAAAGAGTTATTTTTCCTCGGGTGTTACTACAAAGGGGTTCTCCAATTTTGGTAGTACTAGTAGGGGTTTCTTCGATTATGGTTCTACTAGTCCTCCTAAGAAAGAGTTAACCAGAGCATACTCTACTTTCAAAACTAGTCCTTCAGGCGTCACTTCCAATCGGAAGAGTACCTTTGGAGCGTCCACATCTAATCCTAGAAGTAGTACCTTCACCGCTACCTCTTTTGGATCTTCTCCTGGAAGCACGTACACCTTTAAAAGTAATGCACCTGCTCCAATAACCACAACAAGAAGGAGTTACTCAAGCCTTGCGCCCAAAACTTCCACTATAAGTAATTCAGCATTAGACATCTTCAGACACGTTTTTCGATTTGGTACTTACTATGATACTGCCTCGTCTAACCAATCTCCAAGTATAGCAAAAAATGATGTAACCAAAGATCTGGTAAAAGACAGTACTCCAAAGGAAGATCAATCTTCTTCAACTGAAACTATAACCCGTTCGAGCATTGCCAGCTTCAGATCTGCGAAACAAGTGCGTCCAAGGCCGACGCCAAATCGACAAAGACCTCCAAGGCCTTCCCGACCTCATACTAGACCTACGGGTCGACCTACACCTTCGGTTAGGCCGCCACCTTCACCTAGACCACCACCAAGACCGATATTTACTTTATGGCCAACTTCTACCACAAAACCGGTATCCACATCGGTATACTCGACTACTTCTGCTTACGCTACCACGTCATCATCAACAACAACACCAAAACCAGCAACAACGAAGAAACAACAAGGTTCTACAACGATCGATAAAACAAGGCCTACTAGACAGCCTGATTTGGCACGTAGCGAGGAAAACGAGTTCCCGGGTTATATCTTCCAGAGGGCTGGATTGGGTTTCAGGATATACTATAATCCGTAGGACGAGTATTAGAAGTTAGAAAATGAGACTCCTTCCAATTGAAAGACTGCTTAGTATTAAGTTTTAGTTAAATATCTCGATTTAATTTAAGGTGGACCTGTAATGTTGTCGTTTCCGCATTTGTTGTACGCTGATCCAGAATATATCCATGGAGTTGAAGGACTGCAGCCTAATCAATCGAAGCATGAGACGTTCGTTGTACTAGAACCAGTAAGTTGGTTTGTTTTGTTTTGATATAAGGCCCAATCAAGATTTACAGTGAATGAAATTAGATATAACTTACAGGGTGATCATTTGAAAATTTTCCACCACGAATTTATCGAAAACCACTGATTAAAAGAAAAAACGCCGAGGCACGTCAAAAGATTTGCAAGGTTAATAACTGTTCAACCTCTTTCACCCTTTGTTTCCTAAAATGCCTGCCCATACACTAGTTTTTTGGAGGTACTGGGTATCCCCTGCTACAAAAGCATTTTCGTTGCTCCAATACCTGCAGTTAGGCCTATTAACAAATGCATTTAGATAAAATGTGATCCATCACTGAAGCAGGCAAAAAAGATGTCAGCAGGTTTTGATGAAGTACCTTGTTCTTTCCTATTCAATGACATAGACTTAGTTGCAAAACCTCTAAGAGCACTGTTTAATCTTTTGCACAAGGCATATTCCCTTACAAGCTGAAAGAATCACTTGTTATACCAATCTATAAAAAAGATGATATTACTAACATGACTAATTGTAGAGGCATTTCTTTGTTATCCGTATTCGCAAAATTCTTCGAAAAGGCTTATTATAATAAACTGATAAAATTTGCTGACAAATTCAATATCATCACCAGGTACCAATTTGGATTTCAGAAAAACCTATCTACAAAAGGTGCAGTATTGTGTATGTGTGACTTTGTCTGAACATGCCTTGAAAAGAAAGATAAAACGTGTTGTCTCTTTATAGATTTAAGCCGCGCTTTCGATACTGTCTCGTTTACTCGAAAAGCTTAATAACTACGGAGTCAGAGGAACCGCTTTAAATTGGATAGAAAGTTATCTATCCGATAGGGAACAACGAGTTGTCATTAATAATGGTAGATGTAAATTATCTTCTAGCACCAAGGTTGTTTTAACTGGTGTTCCGCAAGGAATCATACTAGGGCCTCTATTGTTCTTGTTGTTCGTCAACGATGCGCCTATTTTCCTGAAACAGCATTTTGTTACATTATTTACTGACAATTCCACGGTGGGGGTTAAAACTAAAGATCCAACTCAGCTCATTACTGAGTTGTCAGTTGCATCTTATCACATGGAGAGGTACTGTGTAAGGAATGGCCGTGTACTTAATGAACAGAAGACGCAACTGATGCAGTTTTGCTTGCGGGATACAGATTGTGATATTGACCTGAAAATTAACGGAACCAGAGTGAACGAGATCCAGGTCACTAAATTCCTTGGTGTTATGATCGATTCATGGCTCACATGGAGGGATCATATTGACTGTTTAGTCAACAAAATATCAAAGCATTGCGTTGTGTTATGGAGACTAAGGCAATTTGTAAGTACTGCAGTGCTTAGGATGTACTATTTTGCTCACGTACAGTCAGACATGAATTACTGTATCGTTTGGGATAGCAGCTTACATACATCAGATATGCTACTTATGTAGAAGAGAGTGATTCGTACAATAACATTTAGTAACAAGCTCACTTCTTGTCGGGAACTATTCAAAACTCTCCACATCATGACGATATATTCACTTTATATTTTTAACTGTGTTTGTCATATTCGAAAGAACTTCGAAAAATATGATTCGCGAAGCAATGTGGAGAGTGGTTATAACCTAAGCAATACATACTGTCTGCGTACCCCTCAACATAGCCTTGCTTTATCAACAAATGGTCCACGCATAATGCCCATCAAATTGTTCAACAGGTTGCCTATTGTTATCAAAGCTGTCACTAATGTCAATGCTTTCCAACGCTGAGTTAAAAGTCTATTTATGGAAAACCCTTTTTACAGCATTGAAGAATACTTAACATCAGACTTGTGAATTGTATTATTGCAAACAATTAATTTTTAACCTGTTTTCAATCCGTTCGTCCCTCTATTTGTGTTTTATTTGTTATTTATTCACATCTTTTTAATTTGTTTGTTTATGTTGTTATTTTGAGTACATAACGTTTGTATTATTTAATTTACTTAGTGTTGACTCGATCACAACTTTTTAGGTATTTTCTTTTCTCATTCATCATTCACAATTTGCTGATACTTTTTCAAATCAAATGGCAATAAAGATATTTATTTATTTTATATTCTTTACATAAATGGTATTATCATTAATCGCTGCAGTCATTTGTTCACAAAACTCTACTCGCCGATCGAAATAATCTTCGGTTAAGTCTTGCAATATTTTCATTTTGATTAGATGAAATTTATGGAGTTTAGTAACTGTGTGTCCAGAGACTAATGAAATAAAAATCACAGCAATGTTGCGTAATGAAGTATTAGTATTAATTCCAAAACGACTCAAAACTTCAACTTGAGCGGCTTCATCCAAAACTCCTCCCATGATCATGTTCTTTATTGCAACAGATCGAGTTTAAGTAAATTTAGTAACAAGGTCCAAAACAAAGCTATGCGAAGTTCTCTTCCCCGGATGTCTGGCGTTAAACATGATGGCAGTTTGCCGAGCACATTCATTTTGGGCACCATAAATTAGAATCATTTCCATTCTTTCTGCTAGTGTGTAAGCCATTTTGGAAGTAAAATCCGAATCAATAAATTAATTTTCACTATCCCATGATTATCACAAAGGTAACTGACAGCAAATTAAATTCTTTCTTTGCCTTAGCAACAAATAACTAAACAGGTATAACAATAAATACAGATCGCCCACGATATCTGTGTTGATAAAAAGAATGCGGAAAAAATTCGGGTTGTTAATTAGTTGTTGTCACGTCTGATCTTTCAAATTGATGTTTATGCTGGAGTTTTCGTTTTAAATTATAAACGAATTGTAGATTTGGCAAGCCCTAACAGGCAACATCATTTTGAACACTTATTGAAGTAAAAAGTGATATTTTCGTGTGTTTTTGTTTTCTATCTATACAAATTAAGATAAATAAACATTTTTCTAATTTTCTCGAAAACTAATCGACTGATTTTGAAAAATCAAATGTCAAAATAAAGGACTTCGAAAGACCTTCCAAAGAGGATATTACTCGATACCCCTTGTTATTGAGGATGTTTAATGGAATGACCCTCGGGGACCGAGGGTGAAAGGAAGTGAAGTAGTTTTCGGTTAAAAAGTTATCCTCTTTACACATTTTTTGATGTTTCTCGGCGCTTTATTTATAATCAGTGGTTTTCGATAAATCCGTGGTGGGAAGTTTTCAGATGAACATCCTGTATGTACACTAACCGTAAAGACTGAAGATACCTTCTTGAATCCAGGAAGTGTCCATTGTTATGACAACTTATGCAAAACCAGCAGGTTGTACATACCTCAATATTCCCTCTTCCATTTCTTTTTTGAACTAGTCAAGTCAGCAAGTTGAAATTCGGGAGACTTGAATTTATGCATGAATACTACATTTAAGCATAAACAAACATTTGAAAACTTTAAGACATCTGGGACAATTTTTTGAATGGAATGTTGCATCATCATCATTTTGAAGATCCTTATGAGTAATTTATAACTCCAGAATGCACAGCACTCTGCCTTTGAAAATAACGGGTCTCACAATTATGAGTTTTTGTTATCGAAACGTTCTTTAGCATGTTACATTATGTCTTTTATTTTAGTACGGTTTATCGGCATATGCAACAAAACATAGGAATTTCATTTAATAATTTGTGCCTGTCGTTTTTCTAACGGATTGTCTCATAGTTATTGCATACTCTATTAACTGTTACAAAGGAAGAAGATAGCGTTTTGATAATTAGTTATTGAGATGCAAGCAGGTTAACAGACAGTGAGCTGTATATTCTAGAGTTATAAATTACTCATCACAAGCTGTAGAATGTTGTATCCTTATACCTCCACTCCATCTAAAAGGTTCCTAGATAGAACCCAGCCGCATATTGAAGTGTTCAACCGTCCCGTTCAAAAATCTATGAATAAAAAACGCACTGTGCATCTCGTGCACCCAAAACTTATCTCTGATGAAAATATCACTTAAGTATATCGCAAAAAAAAAACGTGCGAATCTAAACAAGTAAACAAAGAACATTATATTGATTTGTCAGAATCTAAATAACTTATACCACCCTATATTGTGCTTTGTGATAATTTAAATCAATTTATTGATTTAGAAAATAAAAGTTACGAATTTAAATATCTAGAGCTTTATGAAAAATACAATAGAGAAAGGAAATAAAGACGATAATCGATTAGATGTGAAAATTCCATTTGAACAATAATGATTTGAAATGGAAGCTATGTAAAGCCAGTAGAAGCGACAAATTCTATATCATGTTTCTTGGATACCTTACAAACAGCATATCTCATACACTCCAATTGTTCGATGTACAAGAAAACGTACTTTCTAACGGATGCGCCATCTTTTATGTCTGTATTGAAAAATCGAATGACTTTGATATTTACCAACCGAGTGATTTGGTTATACGTGTTTCTGAAACGTCAATTTACTACAATTTTGGTCACGAATCGCTTTACACCAAAAAAACGCGCCGAAATAGTCACAATGTACATTGAAAATCGTCATTCAGTTGTGTTAACGCAACGTGCATATCGTCGAAAACATCGTGGCAAATAAGTATACCGTCTGACAACACTATCCGTCGTTTATTTTTCGAATTTTCTTGAGTACGGGACAGTGGGAGATCGTCAACATACCGGTCATCAACGACCAAGACGTTCCAATGAATTATTTGAATCAGTCAGAGACAGCGTTGCCCAGAACCCAAAAGTATATTATCGTCACCGCGTTCAGCATTTTGGCAACAGTGGAACCACGTTGGGATGCATTTTGAAGGATGATTTGCATTTGTTTCCTTAAAAGGTGCAGTAAACACAAAAAATATTGCCAACTGACCGTCCACGTCGCTTGGACGACGCCCAAACAGTCGCTCGCATGGTTTCACGCTCTCTGGCGGCGTTACTAAGCAAAACTGCCGCATTTGAAGGACGGAGAATCCACATGAGATCCACGAAAAGCCGTTGCATGACCGGAAAGTGACTGTTTGGGCCGGCGTTTGAGCCAAAACCATCATTGGGCCATTTTTCTTCAACGAAAACGAAACAGTCGATGGAAATCGATATCGGTGGATGTTGGCTTATTATGTCTGGCCACAAATGCGTGAAGAAGGTCTTGATAGTTACTGGTTTCAACAAGACGGTGCGCCATACCACACTGGACGTCTGATGTCAAAAAGAGGTAACATTGACTGGCCACCCAGGTCTCCAGATTTGACCCCACCGGACTTCTTCTTGTGGGGTTATTTGAAAATTCAAGTGTACGTCAACAAGCCCCAGACTACTGAAGAACTCAGGGCAAACATTCGCACCGCAATCGCCGCTATACCGCCACAGATGCTCGAAAAAGTAATGGAAAACGCAGCAAAATGGGCACATTTTGTTTTGGCCAATAACGGTGGCCACTTGATAGATATATAGAAATTGTTTTCAAAGTTATTTCATGTTTACGTACCGACATAAAAGATGGCGTATTTATGGCATTGCTTTTATTTTTGTTCAATTTTTACTTTGACTGTGCTTTGCCTTCTATTTTTCAGAAATTAAAATATTTTTTCAGCTCAGTGGATTTCCTTTGCAATTAGCTCAAAGGGTGCAGTTCAATATGTTTTTAAGACCTATTGAAGGTGTAACTAAGCTACAAAATGTTACTGAAGCATTGGTGCCTTTGTTGTGGATTGAACAGGTAGGTATTGGTCTTCATTCAAAATGGATCGAATCAAAAAATACTTTTCTCAGCTTTATTTACTAAGTTTTAAATTTTAGTTCGTAATACTAGAAACTCGTAAATTATTATTAACTAGTATAGTTCCAGCCAGGCGTTAAACTGTGCCAGAAGAGACGATAAAAAAATTTCAACAACGTTTTTGGAAACATGAGCTGACAAAAAGCATGGAAAACATACTCATATCAAAATGCACTCTTAAGAATATCATTTTGATAATAATCTATATTCGTGTCAAGAAAAAACTGATAAACATCAAAAATTCAATATTCTTTCAAATGTTACTCATTCGTAAAAATCATTTTATTACACCAAAATGTTCAATGCTGCACAAACTATGATAACGAGAAGAAAAAACAAACGAACTGCCACTTGGAAAACAGATAAATAAAATATATTGTCATTGTACAGAATTTGTGATTGAAACGTTTGCGGTCAAGAAGTTTCTGACAATACATGTGGTTTTACTGGCCAGAGAAGCATGAGCGATTAGTTATATTTTTGTTTCATCTTTTCAGAGTACAATACTGGATGACAGGTTCATCGATATGCTGAACACCAAGTTATTCAAAACACTGAAGATAGCGACCATAATCAAGTGGACCGTGATCATATCTGGAGTAGCCTGCACAATCTTATCACTATGCCTTTATATTTACAAACGATGCCCTTGATCTAAAAATCGAAATTAATGCATTGAAATAGTTTAAAATGTGTGTTTTTAGGTAAGAACCGCTTCAAAACTGTTTGTCTAGTATCTAGTAATAAAGTAGTGATGTCGAATATCTGTACCACGGTCCAGTTTTTCTCTTATCATACGTACAGGGTGTTACAGAAGATTTTCACGAAAATTTAATGGCTGTGTCGCTTATTTCTGTCGGTCTGTCTGTCTGTCCGCTAATTTTGGCCCGTCTATAACATGGAAAGTATCGCTCGGATTTTGATGAAATATTGGTTCAAGATTACTAATGTAACTCTTGGAAAATATCCTGTGGTTTTCATGTTCATAGGATTCCATTGTCACGCCGAATCAAACTACATATACTTTTAAATTATCTTTATTGCACGACCTTTCGGCCACTACCGTGGTCGTTTCCAAGTACATAAATTGTCATTATATGAACAGAGATATCTTTTCATGTGAGGTGAACAACTATCAAAGACGGATAAGTTTGAATGCCGTTATTACGGAGAGCACTTCCGGACCTATATGTATATGAACTGTTTGCATATTTATATATAATATATCTTCGATTTCCCTGACACATTGTCTAGCACACTGTATATCATGCGTACCTTGAAGATGGTATTTATATTTAGTATGGTTTTGTGTACAGTATTGGGAATTTTTAGGATCCGCTTCCTAGAGAGAATTTGGTACCCCCGCTCTTCAAAATGTTTTGCGGACTGATGCACTTTTTCAAAAATAAAAATTTGCCTTTCACCGACCGATTATTAACCCCCTGGGAAAAATTTCCGCAGGCACCCATGCTGTATATCAAATAGCAATCTTTACGGGTCAATCAATGGAATATCTGATTAACGTGATGAATATGAAAATACGTTTCCGTAGTAATATTAAAATTTCCTTATTGTATTAACAGTTTTGTTATGTTTGCTGCTTACATTCAGTGAAGGATCCCTAATACAACGAAATATCTGAAGAGTTAACGGATGCAAAACTGTAGGTTATACGGGGTGTTTCAAACTCGACTCTCGCTATTGGAATCTCGGAAACGGTAAGAGATACGAATTCGGTTAAAGGCAAGTGATAAGTTGCGCATTTGGATAACTAAGAAAACGACGCTGAGAAAGTATCGCTATTCTGAGTATTCTCGGAGATAGAGGGAGAAAACAGTTTTTTCCAAAATCGTTTAAATTTTTTCCTAAGTTTATTTCAGATGGGATTTCAAAATGAAAGGTACATTAACATTGCCACTTTTTCTACTCTACAAGATGGTACAATTAGAAATCTTAGTTATTACAACACAGAATTTCCTAACTAAGCATTGAAATTATTAGGTGGCCATTTTTTTCATAATATCGGCAGAAAATATTCATTCAGTTCATTTCCGACTTTAATGATGTGATATTGTAGATATCATGACATGAATTGATATTATAAAACTTCAGTTGGTCTTAAGCCATCGAATAAAGGAAATTTAATGTTAAAACATTTTCATGTCATTTAAGGCTATTATTGAAAGGACTGTTATTTTCCTTAAATAATAGAAACGTATTTTACAGTAAATAAAAACCTCGATAATATTGTAGCTTCTTGAACACATTTCATATCCGCCATATCTGAACCAGTCTACACATTTTTCATTCAAATACTACTAATCTAAAGCTGAGGTGTTCTGTAGAGAGCATCTATCGTACTGAAATAACCCTTGTTTCAATCGATAGAAGGGCAAAATAAATTTCAAGACCAACTATGTCAATGTATGACATATTTTACATTTTTGAAATCATAATTAAAAACTCGTTTACAATCCAATTTAGCGCCCATAATAAAAGAAAAATTGATTATTGCGGCCAAGAGACGAGGCGTTAAATTGAAATTCTAATTACGCCACCATGTGGAGCAGAAAAAACGACAATGTCAAGGTGCATTTTATTCTGAAATCCAACCTCAAATGAAGCCAAACAAAACTAAAAACTATTTAGAGAAAATTAAGTTTTTTCCTTCTCTCTCCAAAAATACTGTGCTATTTTCTTAGTTACCTCAATGCCCAACTCTGCCCCATTTAACAAACTTCGAATATCTCACCGTTCGCGAGATCCCGATAGTGAGAGTAGAATTTAAAACAGCTAGTATATAATAAGTATCAAGTAAAATTTAAGAAGAAATTCAATATCTCAAAAACCGACACTTTTATACAGGTAAGTTTTTCTTATTTGCGAGGTCAGCCCACCCCTTAAGTTTGTCGTGGTACTTATAATAAGGTTACAAGTACGCCTAGACGTTGGTTGCTCTGCGATACATCTTTAACCCCCAAAGTTCAAACATTTGATACTGTTGAAAAAAAGCTCGGTAGTTGAATTCTGAGCAATGCCAACGTGTTGATTTGTCACTTAAACACACATCTATGGCGTTCGTACAGTGATACATGGAATCCAGACCAAAAGTTCGATTTCTTTTTTATTTTTTCAACGTTTTACATTTGGCTCACTTTCCTCTTGTTAATCTAAATACCTCCTAAAACACTTTCTCACTGGATTTCTTTTTATCATTTTCTCTGCATTTGTCATCAATATTCTTTTTCTAATTAACATAAATTTGAATTCAATCCAGCGACGCATCTTTCCAGTACTGAACGTATAAAAAGTTCACCTTCTTAATGTTAGTCCTGTCCAGATTGATTAGTTAAACACTAAAATGTGTGTGCACCTATGCACCAATGCAAGTCATGTTATTTTTGTGGCAAGTAGGTTAAGTAGACAATTAGTTAAGTAGAATTTGGAGAAAGTGTTCTCCAATTTTGTGTACTTACAGATGATAATCTTGTATTTGCATTTCGTAAATGTGTGCTAGTTGTAAAATAAAAGATAAAAAGTTAAAACTATGTATTTTATTTGTCCTTTGTTACGTCCATACCAATATATCTAGGCACTTTGTATAAAAAACCTTAAAGGTTAAGTTCCGAAAAGTAGCAGTTACTTTCAGCACATGGTATGCACTTATCTTGACTGAAAATCGAAGTCCTTAACTACATTTTGTCACGTGATTTCGAAGATACAAGGCGGAAAACATTTTCGAATTTTATTTTATTGGCAAGAATCAAATGTAGAGCCTGGTGAAAAGAGACTCCAATCGTATTATCATAGGCAGTTTGAATAATTCAAATATGTATATCGATGTCGGCACATAAAAAAATAACTTAACATAAGCGAACAGAGAGAATTAAATAGGAACATCACCATCCATGGCGTTCCATACCAGAACCAAGAAAATGTGTTGGATATTGTTAAGAAAATTGGAGAGCAGTTACAAGTACCAATCGTTGATGGAAGTGTTACAGCATTTAGGGTGGGAAGGATGAACCAAGACACCAAAGCAATAAAAGTTATTTTCCAAAAGGAAGAAGCAAAATCAAAAATTTTATGATCAAAATTGAAGTGTGGACTAAATGCACAAAATATAGGATTTAATACAAACAGAAAAAATTTTTAAATCATGATTTGACCAAACGAAACTTGGAACTGTGCAAAGAGGCAGAAAAATTTAAAAAGGGCGACGATTATAAGTTTCTGTGGATAAGTAGTGATAAGATATTTCTGAGAAAATCAGAAAACAGTAAAATTGTACTTGCTGAAGATGAACAAGACCTAAAAAACTAGTACATAGGAAGTTAAATATTACCTACATGAATATTCAAAGTCTGCTCAACAAATTGGATGAAGTGCACGGTTATACAGTACAAAGTAAGTATGATGTCTTACTACTAGTACTAGATAAAACTTGGCTAGTTGAAGGGGAAACATGGTTATATGAGCTCAGTGGCTATACATCTCTACATGCATGTAGGGATAAAAGAGAAGGAGGAGCATCCATATACATTAAAGAGGGATTACAAAGTGAAGAACTGAGTAAGTCCTCACCAGATAACAATCTTAGCGGATATGTGCAATTCTTGTCGATTATAATGTCAAACTAAGTTTAATCTATAAACCACCCTCCTATGATAATGAACTGTTCCTTGTTAGTTTGGAAAATATCTTGGCTGAGTACCCAAATCGTCATGTTATTGTAGGCGACTTTAATATTAACTTACTAGGTATGCAAACCAACCTACTTCAACATTACAAAGATACTGTCAGCATATATAACTATAAAATTTGCAATGACATTAGCGAACAATGTGCCACCAAAGTAACTGCTAACACAAAAAGTATTGTTGATCATGTTTTGATAGAACAGGACTACAGCAAAAACTGTTCAGTAACGGTAGAGAAAAACATGTTATCTGACCATGATAGGCTGTTGATTGCACTAAAAGAAGAAGTAAAACTATATAACAAAAAAACTGTTTGTGAGGTGAAACATACTGCTTACAAAAGGATGGTCCAGTTGTTTGGAGACCAAGTTAATACAGTTAATATAGAGTGTTTTGAGCAACTTATTGATCTGATTAGTCAATGTAAGACAGAGTCTGAATATACTACATTAATTAAATGCCATAATCATAATACTTGGATTACTAAGGAATTATCAGAAATGATAACGTTTCGGGATAAACTTTATAAGAGAAAGAAGCTTAACCCCAAAGATGCAGTTACAGAATCTGAATTCAAAAAGATAAAAAATAGAATCAACAACAAAGTCCTCAAAAAATGATCACTTTAGAAAGAAATGGAACGAAGCTGGTAATAGTGCAAAAAAGCAGTGGAAACTACTAAATAGCATACTCAAAAAAAACAGATAATGAAACAAGTATTGAATCCCTTATAGTGAGCAACATTTTGCAGAAACATAGTTTCTAATATAGACATCTATCGACAAAGTATTGGTGCAAACTCTAAGTTTGATGAAATTCACTGTGGTAATAGCTGCTTCACTAAAAAAACAAACAGAACAGACATTTTGGACATACTTAGCGACCTCAAGAAAACATCTGCTCCTGGTCATGAACCTGAAAGAACATCTTGTTAATAGTGTGCTTACTTCCAGATATTCTTAAAATAAGTAAAATGACTCCGATATTCAAATCAGGCAATAAATGAACAATTACAGGTAAAATTTCAGTGATTAGTGTACTTTCAAAAATAATAGAACTTTTATTAAAAACAGAATGTTAGCGTTTATAAATAAATACATCACCCTGGACAAATTTCAGTATGGTTTTTAAAAAGGGAGTAACACATTGAGTGCAACCATGGATCTTGTAAATAAAATAGCAACGGCATTAGATAAAAGGAAAATTGTAATTGCAGTATTTGTAGACCTTAGCAAGGCATTTGATGTAGTAAGTTTTGATGTTTTGCTACAAAAGCTTAGTGGTATGGGATTTAGAGGAGCATTATATAATTTATTGGAATCATATCTAGTCGATAGAAAGCAATATGTCAAAATAGGTAATAATAACAGTCAGTATCTGTCAAATCCTTATGGTGTACCCCAAGGGTCTGTCTTGGGACCTCTTTTATATTCTCTTTATGTTTTAAGTCTGCATTGTGCTAATCTTAATTGTGACTATTTTACCTTTGCAGATGATAATGTATTGTTATATTCAGGAGATAGTAAAGTTAGCTTGGAAACTGTGATAAATAATGATTTAGATGTGTACTATAAATGGCTGTTATATAATAAGTATAAGCAGCAGCGGTGGCCGCAGTAGTAGACTCTTCGGTCTCCTGATCAGTCGCCGTGCGCTGTGCGGGTTCGAGTCCTGTCCCAGGAGAAATTTTTCTCTTGGCTATGGATGTTGTGATTGTCCGTAGGTGGTAGACGGTCTCTGACTGTCGAACGTGGAGGTACCACCCGGCGGATCTCGTAGGCGGAGCCAGAATGTGTGCATGTTGCATGCACACGTGTTCCCTCGCCAGAGTTCGTGTGGCGTTCCCCTTTTCCCCTGTATCCCCCTATAGCCCCACGGTACCCAATGGGTGTTTAGGCCTTAGGCCTTCGTGGTAGTTGGAGTATAAAAAAAAGTTGAAGATGAATGTAGATAAAACAAAGTTTATGCTGTTTAAGCAGAAAAATAAAAATATAGTTATACCAAAGATCAAAATTGATGATGTAAGTTTAGCACAGACTACCTGTATAAAATATTTAGGGTTAATGGTCGACGAGAATTTAAACTGGAATGAACTTGTTCACAATGTAATAAAAAAAATCACTTCAATAATTCGTGCCCTATATAAAAATAGATCATTTTTTACAATTAAAGTTAAATATGATATTTACAATGTTTATTTTTTATCTTGTCTTGTCTTATGTACCTTCTTCCTTCTTCCTGTATGGGGTACTTGTGGGAAGGTAAATTATAATAAAGTACAAAGGGTTCAAAATCAGGCATTGAAGGTTTTATTCAATCTGGATTGGTTTACACATACACCTGAGCTGTACAAGGAATTGAACATCTTTAACTTAAATTAGCTTCTTGAGCTAGAACAATGTAAATTTATTCATAAAGTAATTACTAAAGCCCTAAAGTACAATAATGAGATTAAATTTACAAATGACATACACAAATATAATACTAGAACACATATGTATATATACATGTATAATGTTAGTACTGCCATAGGTTTGAATAATCCCATATCGCATAGAATAAATTGCCAAATAGCATAAAAAGCAGTAACAATAGCTTTAACTGTTTTGTAAAGAAATTAAAAGATCACAGCAAATAATACATTGTATTTGTAGTTAAATATTGTTGAATATTGTAATTAGTAATAAGCACATTTAGACTGTTGTTATTCTCGATGCCACTGTTTTTGAAGCATTGTTTAGAGAATTGAATGTTATTATATTTTATAATAGATACTTTATTTTTGTAATATATTGTTTTCAAAAAAACAAAAAAAGTCGAGCAGACCATTTTTGTTGTGCTCTTCGAGGTATTCTACAATTTCTGCACGTTTCTGCTTTCTGCTCTGAGCTTCTAGAAATGATTGGTATTTCCTTAATATACAAACCCTCGAAAATCCACGATTGAATACATTCGCAACAGTATTCTGGCATGGATGACGATTTTATTGATTTCTTCCACAGCAACACCCACCATAATAATCAAATATAGAAAACTGACCTACATTATGATAAAAAACAACTCGGCTTGCAATTGCACCTTTATCGAACGAATTATGAATATTTTAATATCAATAAAATCAATCTAGCGCTTATTCTCTGAAGTTCACTTTAAGATATCTAGCATCAGGCCGATTGATTTTTCCTTGATGCATCTTAGACCGACAGAAATAGACTATCAAAAGAAACATTCGATCTAGAAAAACGCTAAAATCGAGAGCTTATTTAAGTTTTTTAAGGGGTACTCTAAGCGCTCGCGTTTGTCAATTTGGGCCTGAAAACAAGGCTAAATTCTCTTTAAAATAAATTAATCTCTTCAAGGTCTTGTCGATACTTGGGAATCTCAAAAATTATAGTTTGTCAATTCTCGTAGCATTGAATAAACCACACTGCAACTCAGATCAAATTTATTTAGGCAGTTTTTCATGTAAATTACAATTTTTTGGATTTGGATCATTCTGAACCAAAAGGGCCACTAACTCTTCTAAAGCCCTAAAAACAAGAATATTCAATAGTTAAAGACTCGGTTAAAAATTATAATTTTTGAGGTCCCTAAATTTCTAAATTAAGGCTTTACTTCATAAGACCTTGAAACATATTTTGGGATTCGTTTACTTTAGAGCGATTTTTCACTATATGATAATTTATACCGGGTAAAATTCTTTCCTCGCAAAAAAAATACAAATATGATCGGTAGTTGTTGTCATGTTTGCCGTGTTTAATGTTTCATTGAACACAAACTAGGTGACCAACACTAAAATACGTTAAATAACGTGCAGGATATATACTGGGCACTATTTGCGAAAG